TAACGGAATACAGTTACTCATATTTTGTATTTTAAATACGTAACGGCGGTACATGTATTCCGTTACTCCCCAACACTGTTTATAAACCAGCGTTAGGACTTTGAAATAGATTCTGTCATGAACAGGAAACCATTGAAGAGAGTACAGGACAGGTGTTATATGTTTGTGCCTGCGGGTATCAGTCAAGAGGCGGGCAGCAGCATTTTGAATGAGCTGAAGATGTGCAAGAGATCCTTGGGCTGACTCCAGCATAAAGTAAGACTATGTGTTATCAGTGTTAGGAGTGTGTATTTAGTGTCCTTACTGCCCATGTGAAGAAGCTATTTCTTAATCTACTTGTTCTACTTTTGATGCTTCTGCACTTCCTTCTTGAGGGCGGTATGGCTGAACGAGTGGTGGCCAGGATGAGGCGGTGTCAGATTCTTTTTGCTCTGGTGGGACACTGAGAGCTAGCAGTCCCATACAGTGAGGTTAAAGGACATCCTATAGTCCTTTTTTAAAGCTGACCTTAACACCATTTGCAGTCTTTGCTTGTCGGCCACACTACAGCCGACGTACCACACAGTGATCTCAAATGACTACACACTCCCAACCATAGAGTGGCAGAAGCTCACCAGTAGCCTCTCCTCCAGTTAACTAATCTGTCGAAACCTTAAGAGCTTTCTCCATCACAGATGTTCTGTTAGCTGACCATGAAAGCTCCTCAGAGATATGAGTTCCCAGGAATTTAAAGGTGGGGATGGGGACATATGCACATTTCATTATTGCATTGGTGGGGTGGGTGGGAGTACAGTCACGTGCGTATATGGCAAAAGGGAGAAGCGACCCAGCTTATTCACTACAATGTCAGAGATGATTGTATTAAAAGTCGAGGTATAGTTGACAAAGAGCATTCTTACAGCAAATCTAAGGCATTCCAGGTGACTAAGAGCAATATGGAGGGCAGTGGAGATGGCATCACTGGTAGATCTGCTTGCTTTACCGCCAGACTGATGGAGGTTAGTCTTTGATCTGTTGAAGCACCAGCCTTTAAAGCATTTTGTTCCCACAGGTGTAAGAGTGATGGGTCTGAAGTCACTGAGGCTGCGGGACAGCAGCGAGGGTGACAGGGTGAGATCGATCTTTTCATGTCTGCCCTTTTCACTTTGTTCACAGTGAGTCTCTCCTTGATTTTTGAGGTTTTTTTTTTTAAATTCTGGCTCAAACTAGAGAGACATTGTGCTTATTTATCTCTTTTCAGGTCCAAATAACCAGTTTTTGCCTTTAGTTTCGTCTTTTTATTGGCCGTGCTTTGGTTTTCCTTTTGTGTGATGAGACTGTGTCTTGGTACAGAAAGCAGGCAGTTGGTCTCATCATCCAGTGGCATACGTTGTATTTTTCTGGCCTCAACTCTGGTGTTTGGAGGGCATCACAGTTGCTGTGGTCCCATCAAGATGTTTAAATGTTGATTGATAGTTCAATGATGTCAAGATCAAAGAGCTTATTGCGATTAAGAGACAACAGTCTGTGACACAAAGATGGTTTCTTACTGAATAATAGCAACTAGGTGGTGAAATCTGTTTTGTGTATGTCCGTGTGCTGTGCATCTATACTCACAAGGAGCCATTGGAGTTTCAGACTTTGAGGAAAAATTTTGGAAGTGAAGATATTTTATGTGCTGTGCTGAGTGTTCCCTGTATGACGCTGAGGGACGGGAATACTCAATAAAGCTGAAATGAGTTGGCACAGCGCAACTTTCCTCTGGATGTTCCTCGTGAGATGACAGGGTTGAACAACAGCTGTTCTTATTCTCATGCTTTTCTCTCGGTCTCATTGAAGAGCCTGGGGATGCACTCGGTAACATCTTTGTTTTCTCGCTGATTTCTCAGAAAACACAATTTGATATAGTTCAGACGGTACGTGTTCATTTATCATCAAATTCACAACACGGAGCTGTTATTTCACCCTCGCAGAAGTAACGTGAGCTGGAACAACAGTCACGTGCAGCTCATGGCACAATACTCAGTGAAAGCACTGTAGATCATTTAGAAAGAAAGGAGTAGTGCAGGTTATGTTATGCTGCTGGCTGTTAACGCTCACCACAAATTACTGGTAATTCCATTGTTTTTGCTGTTATTTATACATTTTCAGTTTTCCCCATTAGTTCAATATATCAAGTCATGAAATCACTTTCAGCATTTGGCACAAAACTGGGGGAAATTCTTAAACAACCTCCCAATAAAACACTTTTTTCCTCACACAGTCAAACACTGAGAGGCACTAAGGAGGATGGAGGATGATAAAAGACCCCTGCCATTGATTTGGAATCAACAAACAGAGAAAGAAAATCTACCAAACTAACTTTCAGGAGAACTCAGTCCTCACCACCATCTGCAGTGGATTTTGTTTGGAATGACAAATACACACCCGCTGAAGCGGTTCATCGCACAAAAAGGGGAAAGGGCTTATGTTGTCGCCTTATATTTATTCAGCAGGAGATTGTAAACAGCTGGAACGGGAGACCGTTTTCTGCTTTGTGTTGCGAGAAGCGCTGCGTTAATCAACATCTATGAACGCGAGAGATCAGAAAAGGGAGCGTTCTTCCTCGTCCTTCATCGCTACAACCCACTCGTTCATTCAGTCACAAAGAGTATTCAGTAAGTTTGTTTCAGGAAATCAATTTTGAAATTTAAGTTATTTAAGATTTTAATAGACAAATTTAAAAAAAAAAAAAAAGCCAGAAAAAAGGCTAAATAAAAACTTCTCCCATTTTGTATTTAATTAATTTTGACTGTGTGAACTGCACACACTACAAATTGTTGCAGACCTCTGTTAAATTATTGGAAAAACTATTAACAACATAATCACAGTAACTTGCTTGTTTAATAATATGAAACAAATCATTTTTTTTACTGGAGTCACATCAATCATGAGGTTTTGCTAGTAATTAAGCCACTACATACGATGCACATTGATTGGAAACATTTTTTGCTCTATTCATGTGAAAACACCTTTCTCGGAAGTTTTGCAAAAATAGGTTTTATTGCTTGTTTTTTTAAACAAAGCATTTGTACATTTGTTTAATTATAATTATAATTATTATAATAACAATACTACTACTACTACTAATAATAATAATATTACAGCACAAGTAAATCAGTAAAGCAAACACATGAACCCAGTTCATTCATTTCTACCTGCATTTAAAAACTATGGCAAAAACAAAATATTTTATTTTTTTATATTTTTCTTCGCACAGAAATGTAATTAATTTGATTTAATTACTTCTTGCTCATTTTTGGATAATTTATAATGTTCGTCTTGTCGCCCGGTAGTCTGTTCGTGTCTGTCTGCACTGAAAATTACACGTTTAATGGAAAAATTAAGTTAGTTTTTATGACATTAATATTTCTGATGAATACAAGCAATGAATACAGTATTTGTGTGTTATAGGAGATGGTGTTTGTTCTGTACTTTTACTAGAGAGAAATGTATTTGTGCCACATTTACACAATCAGTCAGTTGTAGACACAGCACATATCGTATTTTCACTTTAGAAATATCACCTCCCTTCTTAACCACTAATTTGGTGCCATCTTTCATCTAAGACAATTTAATAAGATTATAACCAAGAGCTTGATGTTCTCGCATGACGCAAATGGGGTTTTTTGCGTTTTTCTCTCTCTCTATGCTGGCATCTCTCTGTGCCATTCTACTGTCTGTACATCACAGCAATACATCACATGAGTCACACAAACTTAAGCGTGGGCTTGGATAATAACTAATTCTCTGTGTGTTTTTTTTGTTTGTTTAGAGGCTCCTTCTGGCATTGCCACCATTCAACTTGTGACAAGATCTGCTGATTAATTCACTGGTAACATCTCACACTCCTGGTAGCGTCTCACTTCTTATCTGCATTAGTTTCTGTTTTAGATTTCAGTCTGTGTTTCTGTGCAGAAGTCCTCATGCTTTCTTGGTGATGGTGTGTGTTTGTGCGCCCACATACCCCCAGCATTATCTCTACCATCTTCTCTATAATTCACAGCAACTTCTTCTGTCTCTAATAATTTGTGAATAACCTTTTTGAAGTTTTTACAGTGTTCTGTGTGGGTCTATCATTCTGTTGGTCTTATGACAGAACGATCTGACCACCATGGAGCCATCACCTCAGGACACAATCACATCCCTGGGAGAAGAGCTGAATGAACAAGAAGATGTCTTTTATCGCATCACTTTGAATCGAGACATCCTGCTCCAAAACATAATAGAATTTGGTGGAATATGCAATTCACGTGTGCACAAACCCAACCCTTACATCTGCATCTGCCCCTCACACCTCTGCTCCATCTCCTCCATCCGCTCTATTGGAGCCTTCTAAGAGAGCACTGCACTCACCTGAACCAGTTCGCCCATGAGTTGTAAAAAGCCACTGATTTGACTAAATGGGGATGGGTGGTCATTAATCCAAATGATGTGGCGTCATATGCTGAATTCGTTAACAATTTTAAAAGTGTGTTTATTAAAGGAACTAATTCAGATGTGATACTGGCTAAAAGACCGAGTGGGAGGAAAAAGCACCTCATGGTGCTTTCCTTCATGACCTGATAAAGCTGACGAAATGTGAGTTGGTTGCAAAAGACTTGCCAGTCACCTTTGACCAACTTGTCTCTATAACTTTAGTCACCATCCTGTCAAAGTTAGATCTCCAGAACGTACGTGATGTGGACACTGAACTCCACCAAGAAAAGTGGTCATTACTCTTTGCATGATTCAGTTCTCTCTCCTACCAGTTTGCAGTCTCAGATCCCCCCACAGGAGATGAATCAATCCTCCCAGCGTTTTATCGCTGGGCCTCAGCCAGAGCCAGACTCCGGCATCTGTCAGATCTCAGGTACTGCATTGGGTAAACAAAGTTAAATTCACCTGTCACCCTGGAGTTCAAAGAACAGTAAGCTTTCATCAAAGACTGTGCATCAGTTGCTATTTTGAATTTTAACCTGTGTTTCTGTGCAAATCCAGCAACAATTCCCTGTGTGTGTGCTCACTGACCGCCAGAATGATCTACACCACCTTCCACAGAGCAACCTTCTCTGTTTCTAACAATCTGTAAATAAACCTCCTGCACTTTTCACAGCGTTCTGCACGCGGGTTTATCATTCTCTTGGTTTCATGACAAGAACACTAACTATGCGCTCTTCTGTGATTAATTTAAAAACCATTTAAATTACCAAAAGGGTTTTCTACGGTGACCCTGAGAGGATAATGGGCAGCAACTTAAAAAAACAACAAAAAAACAGCAATAAGAAAAATGCTGCAAAAGCACACAAAACACAACGGAAATAGGAAAAACAACAACAGAAACAGGAAAAAACAAAGCAGAAATAGGAAAAAACAGATTTTCAAAAGCACAAGGGAAGTGTTTCTGGAGAGACAATAACCCGACAAAATAAAATTAGTACATGTACCAAAAAAAGAGGATTTATTCATAACACACGTGAAAAGACCCAGGAAAACCGAGTTAACGAGAAAAAAAAACAAACCCTGAAAACCATACGTCTCAACTCTCGCGGCCCGGTACCAAATGACTCATGGGGCCCGCTGATCTAAATGATCGATTACCAGAACTACAACCTGCTTACTCAATGAAGTCCATTTCTCATGACATACAGCTGCATGTTTAATCTTTAAACTCCCTCTGGAACCCCAGAAGCAAGATGTCCTTCCTCCTCCTCCTGCCAGCAAACTACCTCGTAGCTCTGTTTACTAATTCAAAACAGCAAATAAGCCTCGAGACAAATGTTAAAAACATGTTGCAGTGATGTTCATTCTAACATTTGCACTTCCTGTCATTCACTCTCGCATTGCTTAACATCACTCTTCCCTAGTGAAAATATTTAATGGTTTCCGTGGTGGTTATGCTGAAGCACGCGGTCTCTGTTTTCAATCAAAGGTGGCAGCAGTGGCTATTTTCTTTTAGGGTTTTGGCATTTTAATAATGTCAGAATCGATGAAGATGCAATCCAGAGACAATGTACATTTCCTCTAAACCATATCTGGCAAACCAAAATGCCAGAGTACTTAACATTATAGTTATGCAACAAGGCAGCCTCTGTTAACAGCAAATGGGACACAGACGATTAAAGGCAAGCAAAATTAAACCTATTAACTGTTTTTTGTAAACTTCAGTTGTACATCTTTGGTTTTAATTTACAGCTTCTGTTTCCTGTGTTATAGTTGAAACCTTCAAAACTGGAGCTTATTTTTTGGAGCACGGAGGTCTGTGTGTCATTTTCTCGTTTGACAGCGGGGGATGAGAGACGCAAATTTAAAAGTTTCAATATGTATATAGCAGGAGGAAGGTTTTGGAGAGTTAAGAAAGTAAGGCACATCTTATAAATATTGAATTCATGCAGTTATTTGTTAATTACAGGTAAGAGAATAACCAGGTGATTGTTAATCCAGACTTTTAATGTTTGTCCGAATAGTCATAAAGCACTAAGCAGGTGTTTGGAGTGGTGAATAAATAGTAGGTTTCAAAACATCTGCTAATATTCAGCCTGCTGAAGAGCCTTCAGGCATTTTTAGAAACCATTCATTTCATGTGGTCCTCTGCACTAAATTAGCCTTTGCTCCAGGGTGTGGACAACACAATTAAACAAAAATAGAAGCAGGGCCAGCTCATCCTAGCTGAAACAATTAAAACATAAATAAATAAATAAAAATCACCAAAAACAAACAAACAAACAAACAGATGAAACCGTCATGGTCCTGCAGGCCTGATCGCTCTGCCTCCTCTCTCCCTTCTCTTACTTTTTCTCCTGCTATCTCTTTGCTCTCAGGTGAAGCGGGGGCATCCTTTGGTTCCTGGCTTGTTCTCTGGGAACGGGGTGTTCCTGGCTTCAGTCCAGCCAGCACGCCCACCTATTAGTTTATTAGGCCCTGTGGCTAAAGTTGTGTTTGTTGTGTTCTCCTCTGGTGCGTGCCTTGGCTGGACTTGAGGCGCCTGCAAAGGAAGGATTTATTACAAACCTAAGCTGCTCTTCTCTGATTCACACTCTCCTGCCCGCCCACTCACCAACAGACAATGCTTTATGGAACGAAAAACACTATGAATCGCCTATAGATTATAAAGGAAACACCAGTAAGGATTCAGTTCAAGTTTGATAACAACTCTGCTGAAATACTCAGCTGCAGCAGTACTTACTTGTCTTCTCCTTTCTGGTGGTTCCCTGCTGACTTCCCCCCTTTGTCCCTGTGCTGAAAGACAACTTAGCTGAGTTAAATTAACCTGTTTCTTTGGAACGAAATGAGATCCTGTCAAGACAAATGTGCATTGGTCTTTGGGGTTCTCATTTCATGTGCATTGATTCCTGTAATAATGGCAGAGATGCAAGTGCAGAGACCCACCTGAGCAGCACCAATTAGATCATGATGAGGCAGAAATGAGTGTGAACCAAATATTAACACTATCATGGTTTCGCCCATCCAAGGTTTTGGCTGCTAGGATGTAAAGGGTGTGGGTCTGTGTTTCACATGCTTATTCCTCGTGCCACTGACTGTGGTCCATGTAGATGCCAGAGGTGTGTTTTTTGTTACATTGCACAGCATTTTCTTTTATCATTACAATTTTTTATGACCTAATGATGTCACTACATTAGTGCTTTTTAAAAATACAAGTGTTTTGGGGTCGCAGTCAAAATCTGCAAATTTGCCTTTACATTTTCAAACATGTGAACTTTTTGTTCACTTAATATTTGCCAATCAGCCTAATTGAAAGTCTCATACAGTTTCAAAAGGGGGTAAGGGTATGCAAGACATTGTTACCTGAGACTGATACATGCTGTGGTCATGCAACACATGAAAAGGAAAACTGATGGTGCTCCACAGCGCTAATCTGAACAACAAAGAGTGACGGAAAATTTCACCTGCTGATGTGGCTGTTCGAGGCTCGGCTAGAAAATGAATTTGAAAAAGGTCCTGGAAGGCAGACAGGAAGGAAACGGCAGCTACTTGTTTCTCCGGTAAGATGCCAGCTTGTCCTGAGCAAAGCATGAGGGAAACTGCGTGCTATAACCGCATGGTGTGTGCGTGTATGTGTGTGTGTTGTTTCCAGTCCATGTGCAGCCATAGTAAGAGCCTGTTTCCCATTGCCAGGAATAAGTTGCACTCATTCCTGGTGGATGCTGAGCTCCACCATCGCTGCCCTTTGTCACTGATTTTGTTCACAATACTTTTTGACAGAATTTGGCAGCACAGCCAAAGGTTGGAGGGAAGAGGGTGTTGGGTTTGGTGATCTCAGAATCTCATCTCTGCTTTTTGAAGATGATGTGATTCTTTTAGCTTCATCAGTCAGTGATGTCCTGTGGAAGTTTGCAGCTGAATGTGAAGTGATTGACACTCCAAGTCTGTAGCTATCGTTCTCAGCCAGAAAGGAGTGCAATGCCCACTCTGGGGTGTGAAGGATTGCTGCCCCAAAAAGAGGTGTATAGATATATATCTCTGGATTTGTTCACAAGGGACGGGAGAATGCAGCAGGAGACTTACAGATGGATTGGTGCAGTGATGTGGACACTGTACCAGTTTGTTGTGGTGAAGAGAGAGCTGAGCATGTAAGAGAGGCCCCAGGGCAGACCCAGGACATGCTGGGTGGCTGGTTGTGTGTTAATTTTAGCTCTTTTATACTGGGGTTAAAATGAATTGTTTTCATCATGTAACTATAACACAAATAATGTTTACTTGAAATTACTGCACACTGAGTTATAACTGAGTCAAAAGTATACTTTGGATAAAAGTTGAATGCTAAATTGTAATGTGGTGGTGATGGAGGCGACAGATAGAAAAATAGACAGGTGACACGACAATATATAGATGATTACCACATGTAGAGCGTGTAACAAATATTATAGATGAACATCTGTTATACTTGAATTTTGTTCTTCTTGACTGACAGTACAAACCACCATCATCCCTCCTGCTCAGGAGTTGAAGCGTGGAATTCATTTGGGCCTGGTGTTCATGATCGATAGATAGCCAGAGGGAGTGTTCGCCCAGGGCGCCAAACAGGCTAGGACCGCCACTGCACATGAACACGGGCAGCCCCACGGCACTCTTAACATTAAAGCAGAAACACACTGAGTAAAACTACAAACATACTGTATACCAAGCTTCTTACAAACATGTACAGTATCCACTCATAACAGCTCCCTGTGAAATTGCAGTGATTAGTCTTCAAAAAACATTTTTTTGATCCTTTTATTGACTCCAAATATCATCACAAATGCAAAAGAATTTGATGCTTTGTAGCTTTGGACGTAAATGACACCTAAGTTTGCAGAAGCCAAGTAAGCAGGACACCATCTGAGGGATAAAAGCTCTCCAGTGTGTCCTGGGTCTTCCTTGTCAGATGTCCCAACCACCTCAACTGGCTCCTTTCGATATAGAGGAGTAGCGGCTCTACTCTGAGCTCCTTCCAGATGGCCTAACTCCTCACCCTATCTCTGAGGGAGAGGCCAGCCACCCTTCGGTGAATGCTCATGTCCACCGCTTGTATTAGCAATTTTTTTTCCTGGTCACTACCCACAGCTTGTGACCGTAGGTGAGGGTAGGGAAGTAAATCAACTGGCAAATTTACAGCTTTGCTTTTAGGCTCAGCTCTCTTTTCATTACGACAGACTGGTACAGCATCCGCATCACTGCAGCTGCAGCACCAATCTATTTGATGACCCCACGCCCAACTCTCCCCATTGGCACAGACATTTTCACTTTGAAACTTGTCATTAATTTCCAGCTTTAATGCCTTTGTGAATGCAACATCTTGACACGATATTCGTTTCATGATCAGAATTATTCTGGTTTTATTCGGTTCCCTGGTGCACACTCATTCAGTACTGCAGCAGGATAAGGGACTCTTCACCTCGAATCTGCTCACCATTGAAGAAAAGCTTTGATTCAAAACTTCTTTCATACGTTGAATTTTTTTTTTAAATCAATTGGATGTTATTTATTTATCTTTAAAAGATTATCTTACGTTAAACCAGATAAACTAAAAACATACTGTATACCAAACTTCTTACAAACATGCACAGGTACCAACATTTTAAAACAAAACAATATATAAATTGGACCGGCACTGTGAAACTGCAGTGATTAATCTGTTAATTAAATACTGACAAAAAGCAGATTTTTAGTGCTTCGATATTAATTTTATTAACTATTAGGTAATAAACCCAAATGCAAAAGGATTTGATGCTTTATATGTTAGAATTTTGGACGGTGGAA